TCTATCTATCTATCTATCTATCTATCTATCTATCTATCTATCTATCTATCTATCTATCTATCTATACATATTTTTTTTTCCTCCAACTACCCTAATACTGATGAAGGTTTCATGAGTTACTAATATCTTCTTTCCATGTAGGAACATAAACAGTTGATTTCCTTTTTTAAAATGCCCTGGACTTATGATGAAAAATGCTATTTACCTTCAGAGAAAGAACTAATGGAGTCTGAATGCAGGTCGAAGCATACTTTTTTTTTTAACTTTATTTTTCTTGGTTTTTTTTTTTTGGTCTGTGTTGACTTTTGCATTCACTTTGAGTCTGCAGCAATCAATAAATATTTACTACATACCCATCATATGCCAGGCACTGTGCTTGGCACTGGGCATACAAAGACAAAGAAAATGAAAGTCCCTGGTAGTGGTTCAGTGGATAGAGTATTGGAGTTGGGGAGGCCTGAGTTAGATACCTAACTCATATGTTTACTAGTTGTGTGACCTTGGGCAAAGCTTTCAGCCTCAGTTTCCTCATCTGTAAAATGGAGATAAGAATAGCACCTACTCCAAGGAGTTGTGAGAGTCAAATGAGATAATGTATATAAACAGCTTTATGAACTTTAAAGGGCTCCTCTTCATGAGGAGAGATAACATGATATATACAAAATTTATGAAAAATAAATTCAAGGTAATTTGGCCGCAGCTAAGGCAATGAATGGGCAGCTAGGTGGCACAGTGGATAGAACACCAGCCTGGAGTTAGGAAAATCTAAATTCAAATCTAGTATCTGATAATTTGCTAGCTGTGTGACCCCGGGCAAGTCATTTAACCCTATTTGCCTCAGTTTCCTCATCTGTAAAATGAGCTGGAGAAGGAAATGGCAAACCACTCCAGTATCCTTGCAAAGAAAACCACGATTAAACAATAACAAGGCAATAAATAAAAGCACATGATAATAATAACAACTGACAATTATACAAGATGTCCCAGAAGCTTAAATAGATTGAAATAGCACCAAGACTTTTGGGACACGTTGTATAACAATATAAGGTTTACAAAGTACTTTGCATGTATGACCTAATTTGGTGCTCTTAAAAATCCTATGAGGTTTTTAAGGGAATAAGCACTTATATTAGCATCTTATATATAGCTTATATATAGCATATATATATGTGCCAGGCACTGTGCTAAACACTTTATGAATATTATCTCATTTGATCCTCACAAAATCCCTCCTAAGGTAGGTGCTGTTATTCCTATCATTTGAGGAAACAGGCCAACAATGGTTAAGTGACTTACCCAGGGTCACATAGCTAGGAGGTGTCTGAGGTCAGATGGGAACTCAGACCTTCCTGACTCCAGGCCCAGAGATCTATCTACTGCACCACCTAGCTAGACATTAAATAAAGGAAGCAACAAGGGAGAAATCAACCAGCCTCAGTATAGAAAAAGGAAAACTGAGTAGCCTCAAATCTCCCTCAAATCCCTGCAATAAATCAGAACTCAGGCCTCGTTTGAGTCCCAGCTCTGCCATTTATAGTCACCAGAGGTAATCCTATCACCTCTTTGGCCTCAGTTTCCTCTTCTGTTAAATCAGGGGATTAATCTAGATAATCCCTTCTAGCTCCAACCCTATTATTCAGTAATGAACAGATACAGGACTACTTGGTCTTTACTTTATTTGAGTGTGAATCGGAGCTGGGGTACAGGGACTTTTTTTTCTCAAGTAGTTTCACAGCTCTAACCTTTCCAGCCTTAACAATACAGAATTCTGTGGGACCTTCTGGCAAATCATTTAATGTCTTTTGACCTCAGTTTTCTTATCTGTAAAATGGAGGACCTAGACTAAGTGACCTCTAAATTTTTCTGGTTTTATGTACAGCCTCCCACTAATCTTCCTGGAGCATGGAAGAAACATCCGGCACAGCTGGGCTGAGAGTACAGGCAGTCCCCGTTTTTGCCCATTTCTCCTCCAGAGTATTAAATCTCATTCCATTTCTCCAGCTCCCTCCCACATCTGGAATAGGCAGGGTGCCAAAGTCTTCATTAAGGGTGTATGAATAGAAATAAAGGCAGCAGTTGTATCATCATCAGTTGGCTTTTTTTTTTAAGATGCCTTATATTTGAAGTTTGGTGGAAGAGGAGGGGAAGAGAAAAACAATCTTAGACACCCTCAGAGCCCTCTGTCCTCCTCCCAGCAGAGATCAAAAGTGATAACACCTCTTACTACCCCCTTGCCAACAGGGAGACTGAAGCCTGGAGCCACCACATATCAGTAGTCCTTGCTTCCAGGTCTGAACTTTGGGATCAGTTAACTGGGGTCTTTCTGGAAACAAGGATGTGACCCTATAAGTCTATGATCAGCTAGAGAAAATGAGTGTGAGTTGAGATATTGGACATAAGAGGGAAGGAGGACACAGCCCAGGGGCAAGATCTGTAAATCCGTGTACCAGGAGCGAGATTGTGAATCATACTCATGCATCCAGGCTCTAACCAAGAGACTAGCATTGTGGGCCCAAGACTGATGCCAGATGCAATGAGACCAAGCTCTGGCCCTCTCTTAGCTCTCTCCCTTCCTGCTGGAAACACCCCCTCCCCCTTCCTGAATCAGCAGTGATGTCACTTCAGCCACCTCACCACCACCCCCCTCACCCAGCCACAGAGGCTGACCCATCCTTGTTCCCCCTCCTTACAGAAAAGCCTGCCTCCCACTTTCTTTGACTCGGTTCCCCTGGGATCCCAGTTGCCTCTCCAAGTTCCTGCTCTAATCCTGATAACCCCAGCCAGCCCCCTTCTCCCCCTACCCGTTTTTCAAGCTGAATGGAGGGTGCTAAGGGACTCCCTTCAGCGTCCACCCCCTCACTACACATTGCTGACTAGCCCAGAGTCCCGAAAGGGGGTCTGTTGCATCCTCCTTAAGTTGGGGGGAACTTTTCTGAGCTACTGAGGTTCTCCCAATCTGAGTGGTAGGGAGAGATGCTGGTTCAGCCAAGGGCAACTAGGAATCACCCTTCCTTTCCACAAAACGTTACAAAAGGCGCCCCCTCCCTCAAGTTTTCAGGGTCACCCCCTCTTTTTTTTCCTGACTCTTTCAAGTACTAAAGAGGTACTTTGGCAGATGTATCCTCCCTGAGATTGGGGTGTGTGTGCTTCTGGTGGTGGTAGCTGAACAAGGGGATGCTCCAGTCCCAGGACACCACTTCTCCTTAGGATGTTGGGGGGTGGTAGAGAAGGGTAAGAGGAGAAAAAAGAGGAAGAGGAGAAGACGGGGGAGCAAGAAGAGGAGAAAGCCAGGACTTCCACTAGTCCCCAGCCCTCTGTCAGGTCAAGGTAACCACTGGCAGCTCCCTCGTTTCTTCCAGAGCCCCGGCAGCCTGGCCGTACGCATCGCCCCCGGAACGCAGTGCGCCCCGTCGGACCACCCCCGCCCCTAGCCGCAGCGGTCTGCCAGGCAGGGGGCTCTCCAGCTCCTTACCATGCTCCAGGTCCTGCTGGTCGTACCAGGACTCCTCGTCCTCCCCGGAGTAGTCCTCCATGCCTCCGGCTCTCCGCATTGGCCCGTCCGGGGCGGGCCGGAGCTGCGGCGTCCCTCCTAGCTCAGGGCCCGGGGCTCCGGGCCCGGGACAATGCGGCGCAGGCAGGCGGGGCCTCGGGAGGGTCGGGCGACGGCGCCCCACTCTGCGCCGCGGCCCCTAGCCATCGGCCCCCCGGACGGGGCGGACGCACCGGCCTCTCCAATCACTGCCTCCGCTTTCCCCGGGCCGGGCCGGACTGGGCCGGGCCAGGGAGCTCCGGAGCGGCTCGGGAGTCTTCTGCAGCCGCGGCGGCACAAAGGGGCTGGGGGGCGGGGACGGCGGGAGAAGGAGGGAGGGAGGATAGAGGGAGGATGGAGGGCGGGGAGAGAGCGGGAGAACGAGAGGCGCGGGGTCCGTGCGCAGCGCAGAGCAGCTCCGAGGGCCTCCCGGAGCCCCGGAGACGTTGCCAGAGCCACCCGCACCCAGCCCGCGCGCAGTCACCGGCTCAGTCCGGAGTCAGCCCCGTGGCTGGTGCCGCAGATCCCGCCCGCCTGCCGGGCAGCCCAGCCGGCAGCTTCTCTTCCCTCCCCAGGTTCGGTGGAGGGGGTGGGGAGGAGCCTGGTCATATCACTGGACCTATCAGGAAGCTGTATGCAAAGCAGGAGGAGGAGCCAGGAAAATGAAGTCTCCAGTTGTCAGAAGGTGGAAGGGATCTATCAAGACCAACTCCTTCGTACCTCTACCTGAATGCATGCCTCTACTTCTTACCTGTCCCTTTCTCTTTTTCTCACCGCCAGCGCCCTAGTCCACCTCGACTTCTTGACGTCTTCTTGACTCCGCTCTCTTCCTTCTGCAATCACATCAGTAGCCCTCTTTTCCATTGTGGGATCCAGATGCTGAAACATCAGGAGGGATCCTGTTGTGCTGGGGCCTGTGTGGGGCAATTTCTGACTAGAAGCTGCTCTTGCATGTGCCAACTAAGGCAAAACACCAACGCTACCTAGGCTCCTCTTTTCCCTCAAGACTGTCATGGAAGGAGCCCGGGACTTTGAACCCAAGAGCTTTAGGAATAGCAATGCTTCTAGTCCAATGCCCTCAGTTATCCTGGGGAGCAACCCCTGTGGAGATGCAGCTCGGCAACTGCTCCTGTAATCTCAGAAAATTCTGGCCACTAAAATCTTTGGCATTGTTATATGGTTCAACATCAGAAATTAGTCTAATTTTATCAGTGGAAATGGCATAAAAGAGGTATTACCATTTGCTTTGCCACTGTACCCTAAGGATTGTGGGACTTTTCCATCTGACTGGAAACTGAAAGCTTCCATATGTGTTCTCTCCCTTATTAGAAGGTGAGGTCCCTGAGAGCGGGAACTGTCTTCCTTGTATCCTCAGCACTTTGCACACTGCTTTTCAAATAGTAGGCATTTGCTTTCTTGTAGCCTTCTGTTGGGACATCCATGGCCATGCTGGTGAGAAGGCCTTTGAGAAGGCAGATTAGTGCTGCAGAGAGTGCTGGATTTGAAGCCAGAAGACTTGGATTTGGATATTAGGTTCTAATATTTACTACTTTTGGCAAGTCACCTGGGTCAGTTTCCTCATCTGTAAAATGATGATGTTGGGTGAGGTGACCTTCGAGGTCCCTTCCAAGTCTAAATTAATGATTCTTCTACACCCTGCCTTTGGGCCCAGGTCCATTTTTTCTAAAATATTCCAGGTAGATGAAAATTGTTTTGAAAGAAGGAACAGTCTTTTTTTTTTTTTGGAACAATTCCAACAATAACCTACATTTATATAGCAATTGAGGTTAGCACAGTGCAAAACTCACAACAGCTCCAGGAGGCAACGCAAGTATTATTATACTCATTTTACAGAAAGGGAAACTGAGGCCCTGAGAGGTTAAGTGGCTTGCAGCTACTAAGTAATAAGTATTTGAGGCAGGAGTGGAACCCAGGTAACATGACAAAAGTCCACTTCAACCAAACTTTAAAAGCCCATTTTATCTTGCTCAGTCCTCAGGGAAGATAGATTCTTCCTGGTTAAGTTTGAAACCAACAGTTAAAAGAGCTCCTTCCCACCCCCATCTTGTATTCCCTAAAAATACAAATCCAGATATGCAGAGATCTAGAAATAAAAGACACAAAAAGAAACCCAGGTATCTTGACCTAATAACTAGATGAACATTCAGGCTGATTTAGGGGAACCAATCACATGATTAGGAGTAATGAAACACACACCCACTAGACCACTCCCCTCCTCCCAACTAGGGATAAAGAAGCTGTCTACTTATAACCCCAAATTGTCTTTGCTGTGTCTAGTTCATCAAGTATCTCACTCTCCATCCTCATCTCCCCTGTCCTCTTTTCTCTAGGCTTCCACTGCCCCTTCTTCTGGCACCACCCGGCCTCCTCCTTCCTCCAAGAAATGACAAAGGATTGAGAATTCATGTTACTAATCTGATATTGCTGGGTCTCTGAACCTATTGCCAGGTTTCTGAACAAATTATCGATGACTAGCCTCTATTCAAACAGATAAGGAGAGTTTTCAGCTGCAGGTCAGATGGAAAAGGTCTCATGGTCTTTAGGGAGCAGCAGCAAAGCTGATGGTAACATCTTTTCTTTAATAACATTTCCACTGATAAAATCATATTAGTTTCTGAAGACAGTGCTCTCTATGGCCCTGAATCTTTTGATTCTGATGGACCAGGCAGTGGTAGCTGATTCTGAGAATAAGGAATCGTCATTTTCACAGACTTCTAGGAGATGTGAAGATTCTCAAGAAATAACCTAGTCCTACCCATTGCTTCCAGGCCATCCTAAATTCAGTTCAGTTATATTTGAGTCAACAAACATTTATTAACTCAATTCAATAGTCAACATTGAGTAAGTATCTACTCTGTGTAGTACACAGAGCTAGGCTCTGAGCATGAAAAGACCACAATAGTGGTTCTTGTTCTAGAGGATCTTCCATTACAGAATGGGGTGGAGAGGAAAGAGGATACAACATGCAAACAAATAAGTAAATACAAAGTAATTTCAAGAGGGAAAGAGTGAGAAGAACTACTGTGGGAGAGATTATTTGTACAAAGATGAGGAGGTAGGAGATGGAATATTATATATGGAGAACAGCTAACAGACCAGTTTGACTGGGTGGGTGTATGAAAAAACATGATGTGGAAAAAAAGTTGGAAAGATAGGTGGGAACCAGATCATTAAATGCCAAACTCAGAATTAAGTAATAGGGCACTATGCTTGAATGACACGGGGTTTGGAGGTAGGAAGGTGGGGGGATAACACTTGCCATATTAAATTGTTTCTCAGTCTTTTCCTAACCCTGACTCCTACACTCCATTAGGCAGTAACTTGATGGCAGGGACTGTCTTTAGATTTTCTTTGTATCTACAGCACTTAGCCCAAGGTCTGGCACAAACTTAATAAGGTGCTTGATAAATGCTTATTGACTTATTGATGGACTTATGAACTATACCCTAAGGTTCTCATTTCCTCTGTTAGATGAGGTCTTCAATCCAGGCTCAGACAGACTTCAGAATCCTCTCTGAATTGTGACTATACCTGATTGTTCTAAAGTTTCATAAACCTCAGCCATATCTTTTCTGCCCTTAGTCCCAGCTGTTACTTAATGCCACATATGTCAACAAAAGTAAGTTTCTGGAGTACCCTTTCCCGTGGAGAAGTTTACTCATGCTTTACATGGCTTTACTCAGTCATCTACCAGTCTCTGCTTGAATGACCTAAGAGCTGTGGGGAAATTCAAGGACGAAACCATAGAATTGTTGGCCTTCATTTCACGCATGTCCTAAATGCCAAAGCACATGGAAATTGTCAATGTGCTTCTTCATTTAAAAAAAGTTGGTGGGGGGCAATAATGACTGAAGACTGGTGAGATTCTCCACTATATTGGGCAAAATGATGGAGGATTTTTTTGTTTTTTAAAATTTAAATGTTTTGATAGTATTTTATTTTTTCCCCAGTTATATGTCAAGAAAATTTTTGTCATTCATTTTCACAAGATTTTGAGTTCCAAATTTTTCTCCCTCCCTCCCCTCTCCTGAAAATGGCAGGCAGTTTGATACAGTTTATACATGTGCTATCGTGTAAGAAATATTTCAATATTAGTCACAGTTGTGAAAGAAGAAACAAAAAAAAACATGAGAAAGAATAAAGTGAATGGAAAAAAATATGCTTTGATCTGTATTCAGAGTCCATCGGTTCTTTATCTGGATATGGATAGCATTTTCCTTCCTGAGTCCTTTTTATTTGCCTTGGATCATTGTGTTACTCAGAAGAGCTGAGTCATTCATAGTTGATCATCACACAGTGTTGTGATACTGTATGCATTGCTTTTCTGGTTCTGCTCATTTCACTTTTTTGGGGGGGAGGCTAAGCAATGGGGTTAAGTGACTTGCCCAGGATCACACAGCTAGTAAGTGTTATGTGTCTGAGGTCAGATTCAAACTCAGGTCCTCCTGAATCCAGGGCCGGTGCTCTATCCACTGCGCCACCTAGCTGCCCCTATGCTCATTTCACTTTGCATCAGTTTGTACAAGTCTTTTCAGGATTTTCTGAAATCTGCCTGTTCATTATTTTTTATTGCACAATTGTATTCCATTACATTCCTATACCACAGCTTGTTCAGCCATTTCCTACCTGATATGGGTATCCCCTCAATTTCCAATATTTTGCCACCATGAAAAGAACTGCTACAAATTTTTTTGTACATGTGGGTCCTTTCCCCTTTTTTATGATCTCTTTGGAATACAGACCTAGTAGTGGTATAACTGGATCAAAGGGTATGCACAGTTTGGTTGCCCTTTGGGCATAGTTACAAATTGCTGTCCAGAATGGTTGAATCCATTCAAAACTCCACCAACAATGCACCAGTAGTCCAATTTTCCCACATCCTCTCCAATGTTTATCATTTTTCTTTTTTGTCATAGCAGCCAATCTGATAGGTGTGAGGTGGTATAGAGTTTTTAATAAAAGGTAGAATTAGTGAAACTAAGTAGATCTAATAGGTTACGGGTAGAATGAGGTGATAGGAATGATGATGTTGAGGTTTGCA